GGTTGAAGGCCAGGTACCAGAACGGCAAAATACTAGTATTCGCCGCCATAGCAAAAATTATTGACCATACGCCCATAGACGGTTCCTCGCGCCAACTAAGGGCATTACATGACACTATAAAAAACTCAATGAGTACTCTTCAAAACCTCGATATCAGCACAAAATCCTGGGATCCAATCTTGTGTTTTCTTATCAGAAGAAAACTAGACCAGCAGTCTCTAGCTGCTCTAGAAAATTCAGCGGATGCACCAACGGAAATTCCAACGTTAAGGAGTGTACTAACGTTTATTGAACGGCGCGCTTGCATGCTGGAGACGATAAGCGCTCAACCTACAGCAACACTACGCCATCAGTCAGTTTACAACGAAGAGAGCTGTAAGATTTGTCACCTAGGACCACATAATCTTAGAGCATGTAGCCGTTTCCAGGAAATGGACCCCAAAACACGGCGCCAAGCCATTATTCAAATAGGAGCATGCACAAATTGTTTGTCTACAGCTCATATGGTTGAAAACTGTGGATCACCGACCAATTGTCGAGTCTGCCAGCAACGGCATCATTCACTGTTACACAAAGGACCGACTAGCAATCCAGTGGCCGGCGCAGTAACCATTGCAGGCTACGACAACGTAGGAGGATATACTCTGCTCGCGACTGCCAAGGTCTCATTACAAGGGCCAAACGGTCAATTACAAACATGTCGCGCTGTAATAGATGGTGGATCACAGGTGAATCTTATCTCAAGGAGAATGGCAGATCTGCTATCTCTTAAGGAAAGGTCACCGATTGAAATATCTGGAATCGGAGGAAAGATATCTACAGCAATTAGATCAACACTAAAGCTCTCATCATGTACATCAGGGTTTGAAAAACTATTAGAGGTATTTATTATGCCCACAGTCATTACAGACCAACCGTCAGTACCGATTACAACCGATCTTAATATTCCCGAGGGACTGCCGTTAGCAGATCCGGACTTTCGGCAACCTGGACCCATTGACCTAACCCTAGGGTCTGAGGTGTATTCTCGTGTAATAACCGGTGAACTTCTTGAACTAGGACCTAATAAACCTTTGGCACAAGGCACTAGGCTTGGTTATGTAATCACAGGTTATCTCAATAAGGAAACCTCATCTGATACGGAAATCAACCCTATTCTGGTAGAAGGCAGAGGTGATTTTGCAGGACCGAACGCTGCTTATGAGCCAACAAAAGATAAAAATCCGATGAATATAGAACCGACTTCTCATCAATTTAAAACCTACAAGAAGGCTGACTTTGGTTCAACATTTCTAAACCTAACCAAGAAATATATTAGTTTTTATTTTATTTCACCCACACACATATTTTCTGTTATTTCTAAAAGGTCGATTTGCTTCGTGTACTTAATGTTCTCTTTAATACAGACTTCGTCAATATCATCATCGCTCATGCATTTCTGATAAAATTTTCGAAGTTTTTATTATATTGGCCCCATTATCCGACGTAATTGATACAATTTGGGTCAGGGCTATTTCGTATTTGTCTAAAATAGCTAAAATTTCTCTAGCGAGATGTTGGGATGTACTTGAACCTGCTCCTTCGAGTTCCACCATTCCAAGTATTCGCGATTGTATTTCTTGTTTGCTGACGAATTGAGCACTGATGCCGAATATATTTCGACCAAGCCGCGTTGCACTATCTATTTTTAAAGAAAGCAGTCGATTCTTACAGTCTTTATGTATTTCAAGTCTAACATTTGCTGCTACCTGTTTTAAAACAGACTTGCACTTGCTTATGTTGCGCATATTAGTTGAGTTTAGCACATGGAACGGAATGCTGTCTTTAGTGACAGCACCGTATAAAATTTTTTTTATTGATTTTAACTTTCATTAGTTTAAGTTTCACGGTTTTTTTGGTCTGCATGCAACCAGAATTATTTTCTTGCTGCTCAGGTCGGATGTCATGCAATTGTAAATGTTTCCTTAAATTAAAAACACGGTCGTTTTTTATAACTCGGAAGCATGTTTTGTATTTAACGTGGTCGGAATCTATCTCCTCGTAATATTTTAACATGTTGATGCTTCTCTTTACCGGTGTCATGTTACTCAAAGCTCGAAAGTGCAAAAAATATTTTCTTAAGACCACAAGGCAACAAGTAAAAAAAAACCGTGCATAAGAAAGGTGCAGAAAGTAAAAAAAAAAAACAAACAAAAGCGAGAGCTCTCATCTCGCTATAAATTGTTTGCTTCCGTCACTGCTACATAGAGCACAGAACTTCATTTTCTGCTATCGCTATTGTTACAGTTTCTCAAGCGACAAAGCTGTGAGCAGAGCAAAGCACTTACTTTCTCGTTGTTCTGCTGTGGCTCTGCTACGGCTCTCATCAAAAAGAGAGCGATAGCAATAGCAAAACGAAATACTACGAGAGGAGCGTAGCTTTTCAGTTTTTTAAGTTAAAGCCTAGTACTCACATCGACGAAAACTGCGAGCTAACCATAGGAAAGAGCGAGAGGCAAATACGCAGCTAACGCTTTTCGTCGGGTCTGATTTTCAGCGCGGTACTCAGATGAGCTAAGGAAATACCGGAAAAAATACCAGATCTTGGGAAAAGAACTTTCAATGAACACCGTTAGCCGCGGCCCAAAGAATAAGAAATTTAATCTTTGGCGGTGTTCGTGCAGAAACGGTAGGGAATTTAAAAATTAAAAATGGAAGAAAAACCCCAAAAATACCTTAAAGGGGTTAGTATAGATTAAAAACGACGCCTAATCCAAGCTTTTGCTCATTATTGTAGGACTTGACCGATAGGAAGCAATACCACAACAGGGCAAATCCGCAGAATAGCTGAAGTGCTGGAGGAGATCCACTAGCGAATCCCAGTGGGAGGGAACATGGGACATCGCTAGATCTCCGGCGAGCTCTCCATTTAGGACTCCACCTCCACTAGCTACTTGGCAGCTAAAGCGGAGATGGAGGACGCTTCTATAGGGAGGAGGAAATAATGTCGCCCGCTAAGGAACTGCTGGAGGAGCCGTTACCAGGATGCTGGGCTGCTTTATGCAGCATCAGGCGGAACAACCCCGTTCCCAATTCGGCTATTGGGACTCGGATGGACTACAGATGTCGCGGGAAAGATGGCAGAGCATCCGTGGGACGAGAAGGAAGCCCTAAACATCTTATTTACGTTAATAAAATCGTTCGTTGAAAATTTAATTTATTTATATTTTTTGTGCACCAGCATACTCTTCTTTTTTAAATTGCTCCAATTGATTTGATTTCCGTTTGGCAACAAGCCCAGCCGATTAACAATAAGACCATGCCACATGCATTGCTGGTGAACTTTGAAATCTTCGGTCACACTACAAAGAATAAGATTTTTCGACTAGTTAAACTCTTAGCCGATCTAAGTACTAGGATAAAACCTACTACAACTTTTTCGATGAAACTCTGGATTCTTCTTCTTGACAGTGAAAATTAAAATATTCACTTTTAAAACGTAAACAATGATTTCAGGTAATATTTGAAAACGGATTGTGCCGAAGCAACAGGTATGTTTCGATTAGCCACAGCTACGCGGTGTGGGAACCGGAGTTTCGCATTTGTCAAGAGTCCCAACTGTTTCCAACCGATCGACACTATGGCAAGAAGGAAGTAGGCTCTTGCCGTACGTATACATCCACCATCCATTGATTTTTACGTCTTTTTTTGTGCAAGGGTGTCTTACTTCAGAAACAATCACATTCTTTCTTTTGTACACTTCTGGCTAACAACTAAAACAAATGATAAATGGCAAAGAAACCAAAATTGGTTGCATTGGTCATTTATTGCAATATTGACATTATAGGGGTATATTGAATTCTTTTAATGTATATTATTAAATATTTACAAATTGTACTGAAACTTCTCAACAAAAATATATGTTTTCGTTCACGGAACATCTTTTATTTTGGACCAAACAGATAAAACGTTTAACGGTGGCATTTTCATTAGCAACAAACTTAAAATTATGTGATATTAGCCAAAAATCAACGAGTATCAAAATTGTAAAACTTTTTCCGGCATTGAATTTTTTTTGTGTTTTTCAAATTGTCAAAATGAATGTCGCACTTGCTTGGAAATTTTCTGAACGGCAAACCTTATAGGCTATTATGCTTATGTTATTTTTATGAGCAACTGCTCTTTTTGTCAGCTGTTATCGGATGTGCTCTGTGCGATGAAGTTTCACATCTGTTACTATGTTGTGGGAAGAAGCTATTAGGCTGATATAAGTAATTATATCGGCAAAAAAAACAACGATGCTTGATGTATCGGTTTTTGCATAGATCGCCAGCTGACAAATTCTTTAGGCCTGTGAATCATAGCTTAGGTGTAAAGTGCACAAAGAATAAATACATACTCTCTAAGACAATGGCAGCCACACTGAAGCCCTACCTTAGCGCCGTGCGCCACTCCCTGACGGCGGCTATTTGTCTGCAGGACTTCCCATCGCAGGTAGTGGAGCGGCACAACAAGCCGGAGGTTGAGATCTGTTCCAGCAAGGAGCTGGTCCTCACGCCAATTGTGGTATCGCGCAACGAACGGGAGAAGGTCTTGATTGAGCCCTCAATTAACTCGGTGCGCGTTAGCATCGCTGTGAAGCAGGCGGACGAGATCGAACGCATTCTATGCCACAAGTTCACCAGATTCATGATGCGCCGGGCTGAGTCCTTTGTAATTTTGCGCCGCAAGCCCATTGAAGGCTACGACATCAGCTTTCTGATCACAAACTTCCACACGGAGCAAATGTACAAGCACAAGCTAGTGGATTTCGTCATCAGCTTTATGGAGGAGATTGACAAAGAGATCAGCGAGATGAAGCTGGCCGTCAACGCCAGGGCTCGCACCTGCGCCGAAGAGTTTCTCAAGCGCTTCTAGGTTAGTGCTCCCATCCAAGTCCATTATCTAGAGACGCAAGCTTATAAATTCCTTGCAGGTGAACGCAACCCAATCTCAACACGGTCGATATAATGCGAAAACGATTCAAGAATAAAAACGTCTTTTATATTATTTACTCCACTGATCAAAGCGATTCATCTTAGCCGCACCACCACATCACAACTGAGTTCTCATAGACCACATCTAACTGCTGTTTCTCCTCGGAAGAAGCCTCAACAGATTCCGAGGTGTTTAAAGTGACGTTGCCCTTAACACTTTGATCTATGAAGTGAAACTGTCCAGAGCTGGTGGCCAGAACCGGCAGAACCGGGTTGAGGCCCACTCCATTGCAACAGTCAGAGTGCAGCTGCAATTTGGAGGCATCTCCGTATGCGCGAAGATCCCAAACATTAAGCGCTCCCCGAGTGTCTCCGCTGGTCAGCCAACGGCAATCGGATGTCAAGTCGAAGTGAATACGCTGGTTGTTGTCCACTTTGCGCAGGAACTCCACCAGCGGTTTCTTGTAGTTGCGCATGTCCCACTGCAAAAGCTTGCCACATTTACGAGCTCCGCTGAACAGATACCACTCCCCGGAAACGCTCCCACCGTAAAGCAGTTTTGTAATGCCGCCTTTGTGCCCACCCAGCGTGAAGAGAGGTCCCTGCTTGTAACTGCAGCGCAGGTCAAAGTGTTGGATGTAGCCGTGCCAGTTGCCGCATGTCAGAGTATTGGAGTGCGTGATGGTCTGGGCAATGCAGGAAATGGCAAACTTCACGGGGTAATTGCCGCAAAGTCGTCCGGGCCTGTAGATTGGTGGAAGGTTAATAGGGAACCGTAGAACACCATATAACTTACCTGCTGGTGTCGAAGATTTTTATACATCGCTTGTATCCCGCGTAGACCTTCTGTCCGTCGTAGGAGAAGGCCAAAGAAATGGCCGCCATAACTTCGTCCGCAGCATCATATCCGCTGTAGCTGCAACGCAGCGAGCCGTCGAAAGCGTCCCACATGTGAATGGGCTCGTGCTGCCGAGTGGCCAGCCAACTGAAAGAGATGAATCTTGTAAAAGAACGGAAAAGACGCGAGCGAGCTATCTACTCACAAGCAGGTGTCCGGCTGCTGGCTATTCATGTGCGGAAACCAGACGCAGTCGTAAACGACTCCGCCCTCGGGAACGTGCACCGCTGACTTAAGCTTAGTCAAAGAGCGCGCGTTCTGCACCGTCCGCGTGGAGTAGAGTTCGGTTGGCACCTCCATAACGTGCATGCCGTCTAGGTGGACGGGTACCAAAAGACAGGTGCCGTCTGGGGACCAGAAGCAGCCCTTGGTGTAGTGCTGGGCAACTGCCGACGAGGTCCAGCAGCGCCGCCCCAACTCAACAAGTCTGCTGTGGAAGTACTCTAGGGAAGCCGGTTCCGCAGGCTGTTGTGACACAGTCACAACTTGGTTTTCGTACGGTGTAAGCTCCAAAGTGTCCTCTATATTGATTACACCCACGGTGTTTTCCTGTTCGTCTTGAACTTTTCGCGAGACCTCAGCTTTCAGGCTTGACTCCATAAAACATGCATCCAAACGAGTACTGCTGTTTTGTGGATGTTGGAAACGCGGCTTCAATATCTCGGCCTCTGAAAGAGACACGCCGAGTTTGGGCAACAAAAGTTTCCCTGTGGACTTAATCATTGTGCTCCTGAAGCTCACGTTATAGTTCAGCAAGGGCGCTTTTACGTCGCCCATGCTTGCGTTCAAGTTGACAGCTAAATAAGTTACTATATTTATATTTTTGTATTAATGTTTTAAAATACCACTTACAATCGTCCATCTCGCCCGTTTTTGCCGCTCAATTATAGTGGGACAGCGCTTGGGAAGGCCAAACATACATTTAGTTATGGACTTAAAGCCTGTTTAAACAAGGGTGGAGTTATAGGTCGCGTTCAGCAGACCAACATGATTACTGCTTAGAGCTCAAAAAATCATTGTTGTGTACGTACACCGAAGATTTTTCATGGTGCAATTTTGAAACATCTATTTTACTGCATTCCATATTAATACAATATATATATTTAAAATAAATCAGTTAATAAAATATTTTTACAAAAACAAACCTTTGGGATCCAATATTTCTCCTTTTACTTATTAAAAATATTAATACTTATACTTTTAAACTTCGAGTTCTAAATAAAAATAAAAATTCTAAATATACATAAAAGAAAAAAAGCGAAACGAAAATAATCAAAATGATGTCATCCAATCATTTTTGTTAATAAAAATTTTTGGGTTTTATAGAGCGTCGGTTTACGCTGACAACGAGGCCTGCTTTACTGAACATCCTCTCACTTTCAGTAGAGGTGGCTGGAGGACATAATTATTTTAAAAAGCATGTTGTTATAGCGGCGTAAATTGAAATCTGTCGAAAAAAACTTTAGATTTTTAAATTAGTTACAGTCTAAATAAGTCCGGAATTAACTGATTATTTTCTTACCCTTCTAATTATTTATCATTGCTGTTATGCTCTTTCAACGTCTTTTCCACTTAAGAGCGCTGCCAACCCCATTACAAGTCGAAAAATCTAAAATAACTATATTGTTAAGTCTATGTAATTTAAATAAGTAAGAATACTTGTTTAGCTTACCAAGATTCGTTTAGCTGCCCAAGTAGTGATGTAATTACCCATCAAGTCCAAGTTTTGGATAACATTGATGTACGATCCTTTTTCCAGCTCTTACTGATGGATCACTGAACGCTCATGACACATAGTGGCTGCGTTCAGCAGAACAACATGATAACTGATTACTGATGCATGTTTGTTTTATTACTGATCCATCAGTAATCAGTGATCAACATTGTTCTGCTGAACGCTTATGATACATAACGAAGTTAAAGATGTAAAACATTTACCTGAAAAGCTCCACTATACAGTTCAAATGTCTTTTCAAATTGGTCCTAGCGTGAAGTTTTGACAAACACATTATAAACAAATGTTTTTTAGTTAAGGTTGCGTTTAAAAAACGATATCGGATGCCACCGCAACTTAAGCATTGCTCACAGCTATTGTGGAAACGTGAAAATCAAAATCGCCTGAACAGTTGTAAAGAATTTAAATTACTTCATGGTATGTTAATAATAATTATGTTAACTCTTATCGATATTTCACTCAAATGTTCTTTTGTATTGGTCCTTGCGTAAGCTTTTGTCAATTATTTTATAAAAAAATTTTCGTTTAAAATTGCGGTTGTAAAATATTTGTTGCCATCGCAACTGCAGCATTGGGAGTAGTAACCAACCTGCAAGCAAAAAGGCGATAATTATATCGCCTATCGTCCAGAAGTTACTTCTTAGTATTTTCGAAAAAAGATTAAAACATCATACACATTTTACAAAAGCCTAGTACTCAGATCGGCTAAGAGTTTCACTAGTCGAAAAATCTTATTCTTTGTAGTGTGACTGAAGTTTTCAAAGTTCACCCGCAATTCATATTGGAACTTAAGGAAATTAGAGCCAGATTGGGAACGGGGTTGATCCGCTGATGCTCCAGAAAGTCGCCCAGCATCCTGGCAATGGCTGGCTATGGCTTCTCCAACTGATCCTTAGCGGGCGCGCTATTTTCCTCCTGGTGGTGATATCCGCAGTCCTAATGGAGAGGTCGTCGGAGATCGTATTACTAATGGTTCTGCTAAAAATATACTTCTATTAGTACAACGTAACCAAATTCTTTTGGCCAGATCTTACTTTCTTTGCGAGGACACGCCCGCCACGATGTCTATGTAGGGAGCGAAGTCCCACTCGGCATGTTCCCTCCCACTGGGATTCTCTAGTGGATCTCATCACCTCTAGCACTTCAACTATTCTGCGGACTTGCTTCCTGTACGTGAAACCCCACAATAATGGCCAACAGCATGGATTAGGCGTCCTTTTTCATCTGCACAGATCTCCTTTAGGCGTTTTTAGGGGTTTCTGCAGGAACACCGCCAAGATTAAATTTCTTATTCTTTGGGTCGCGGCTAACCCCGTTCATCGAAAATTCACTCGCGAAATCTGGTATTTTTTCTGGTATTTCCTTAGCTCATCTGAGTACCGCGCTGAAAAGCAGACCAGACGAAAAGCGTTAGCAGCGTATTCGCCTCTCGCTCACGCCTATGGTTAGCTCGCTGTTTTCGTCAATGTGAGTAATAGGCTTAAATCAGAAAGGGTCGGGATCGCGAAGAAGTAATTTCTGAGACCCTTCTGTATGACAGAATGACGATAATACACATTTTACTAGAAACAAAAAGGGTCGGGATCGCGAAGAAGTATTTTCTAAGACAGAACGAGACGATAGAACACATTTTACCAAATAAAATTCTAGAAGTTGGAAAGAAGATAGAAACGATAACAAAAAAAAAACGCACACGCGACCAAAGGAGGTCGCGATAGTTGGCCGTTACACCTTTATTTCTGAAAATTCTTCGGGTCTTCTATTTGACTCACTGTATTATTTTTCGCCCGAACACAATTTCGATTGTGTGTGTTTTTAAAATATGGTTTTTTTTTAATTTTTTATTGAAATACATATCAAAATATTCCTCTTAAGAAGGCATGCGAAGTGACGTGCCAAGCGAAAAGCTGTACGATTATTTGAAGCTATTTATTTATTTTGCTTGCTTGTTGAATTGTTCACTTGCTCATATGCTCTCTTGCTCTCTTGCTTCACTGCATCCCTGATTTCGTTTTTTCATTATGAACTGGACACCAAAAACGTGCGCCGACGCGGTGACGCAGTAGGGACGCGGTGACATGGCTCAAGGCAAAAAGCTTTTTTGTTTTTTTTGTGTGCCTAAAACGCTGTGCCGCTGTTGACGTCAGCAGAGAAGTCGGCGCAGTGTAGAAGACTGCCTATTCGGAGCTTCCCTCTCTTTCTTTGTCTTAAAATCTGCCTGCACTCGGCGCTCTCAGAGACAAATTTCGGCAGGTCCGTCATTTCTTTTGAGTCTCTGGCACAGCGACAAGTGAATGCCCTAATATTTTAGGAGCATTATTGTATATCGAAAAAAAACAACTAATATTGTTTTATTAAAGTAAATTATTTGATTATAGTAAAATTAAGTAAATGAAATTTACTTTTAATGTTATGCTTACGTATTATACATTAATATTAAAATATAATTTTTTAGATAAGTTGTTTACTCAAAAAACTAAAAATTAGGAAGTCGGATATTTTTCGCTTTAGAAAGGGTATAGGTGCAGTGGCACGCGCCAACAGCGAAGAGAAATTAAAAGAAATCATGTAAAGGGGTGAGAGGAATACTCGGTTCATTCTGTTTGAGTAATTGAAAGGGAAGCAAGCCATTTAAGTTGTGCGCAGCAGATTTACTTCTTTCGTCTTTTTAAGTGAAAATAATAAAGTCAGGTAAGTGTTACATTAGTTTAAGGTATTTAGGTAAGTTCCGAAAGCCGAAAGTGGATGATGAAATATTTTGCGCCAAGTTGTGTTTCACCCCTTTGCAGGATTTTTATTGTGTGACGATCCTGCACGACGGCTAGACCGTCACAATATATAGATATAAGTAATAGTTGACTAAGTTTGCCATTGTTATTATTAGTACGTAAGTGATACGAAATTAAGAATTATGATTTATTAAGTGGAAAGCGAACATATGGATTTAGAAAATAGAGAAAATACCAAACCGATCTGGCAAGGCAAAGGGAAGAAGGATGAAATGGGCACACGGCGGTTTCCGGGCTCTCTCGTCTCTGGTATCGGAAGGTGTACGGTTGCGCACGCCGAAAAGAAAAGGCAAGAAAACACGCGGAGAAAAGAAATCCCGGTCGGTAGGAAGTAAGGTTAGTGAATCAGTGTAATCGGCGCAGTGAAACCCAGGAACGATTAAACAAGACAAATAAAATTGAGTGAACTAATACGAAAAGAAAAGGCGAGCGGCATTGATGTACATATAGGGTTTTGTCCCCCCCCCCCTTCTCGCACCATTTGTTCCCCTAGCGAGCCAGGCTACTAACGATCGATGACCCAATCAGAAGCGGTAAATTAGTTACGTCGGACATATACATATATAGCATCCCGATCTTGTGAAACTCACCCACTAACCTAACTGCATAGTGAGGCGGAAGACCCCCTCACATTCCCGTATAAACACCCCCCACGAGGTGGTATATCCCTTCGTGCCCTATTAATTCCTCCCCCCCCCAACGAGGTGGCAGATCCCTTCGTGCCCTATTAACTCCCCACGAGGTGGCAGATCCCTTCGTGCCCTGCTAACTCCTAACGAGGTGGCACATCCCTTCGTGTCCTGTTAACTCCCACACCGTAGCGGAAGGGCAGACCCTTCCGACTTTGACTAATCGAACTTGTTTTCAGCCGGCCAAACACGACGGACACTGGCTGCGGCATCGCCCGAAGGTCCAGCCCGTGGGATTTTTAGCCACGTTCGCCCCGCGAATATTACTCTCTAGCCCTATGTCTCAGTGACTTTACAAATTTCTTGTAAAAGGACCTCTGGGTCCGACTGAGAGTTATATCTTGGCCAGAGAGCATCCTTACAAGTGGCGCCCACTGGATAAAACTGCGCACTGCAATAAACTATGGCTAACCCGAAGGAGTCCGACGGCGAATACGAAGAAGCCGATCCGATTGCAATCCCAGGCGTAGGAGTACGATGGATTTTCGCCCGCCGCAAAGACGAATTAGCCGCTCTAGACCTCGAGTTCGGGTTTAGCGCCGACGGCACCGTAGCAGAAACACAGAAGGCATTCGCCACACTTGTGAGCACAGGATTCCAAAGTCGGCGTGGAAACGACTCGCTCAACTACAGGAGCAGTATAGCTCGAGAGCTGCATCTCTTAACCGGCTAGGAGACGACAAAGGGTTTATGTCGGGAGCCAAGACGACCCAAGTTAGCCAGAGTCAGGTCCCGCATTTCGCCGGCAACACCTCTCCCGGAAGACTGACAAGCCATCGAGGAGTCCATCCCGACACGTCACGAGATTTCATCGTCCCGTCC